ACCCTAAACCCTAAACGCTGCACCCTGGAGGCTCTTCCCTTTGAGGCAGAGCTGAAGTCTTGCGCCTCGGAGCTGTCGGCGCATGCGGCGGCGGGTGAGACGCTGGACTTCCGCCGATGCCGGACCACTCTCGCCTCCTACCTGAAACTCGGATGCTATAGTGCTATTGTATATTCTGCTCTGTTCCATTGTTCCATTGTACCATAACCCGTTATAGGACATTTTCTTGTACCTGGAACTCGGAGAATCTCTGTTATGGTACTATGGTTCTGTTTTTCTACAAGGCTTCTTTTGAGAGGCACATCCTCATGAAGCCAGATTCGCCCTCTCCCTTGGTACTCTCGGATTTCTGTGGCCCTTTGAACCTCAGAGCCTAAAGCAGGACCGCCATCTGGCCATCTGAACCTCTAAATGACTCTAAATCGTTTAAGCCACTAATCCCGATCCCCACTCTACTAGGACCCTGCAATTCAAACACCTCATAGTCACAGGCCTCATGCAAATGTCCTCCAAGAAACCTTGAGAGCCTGGTAGAACCATTATAAACCATCCTCCTAGAAGCCCCAAAGCCCTACAGTCGCAAACCTTCATAGATCACGCCTAAATATCCTCAAAGAAACTCTCATATACCCTAAACCCTAAACCCCCTAAACAACCCCAAAACCCTAAACCCTAGGATACGTCCTTCTCGAAACTCTAGGGGCCCTACTTGGAGGATCATGGGACTTAGTAACTAGGGTTATAAGTAAGGTATCTATAATTATAACCCCGATTAGGGTACTTATAACCTTACTTACTAAGTCCCATGACCCTCCAAGTAAACCCTAAACCCTAAACCCTAAAACCCTAAAACCCTAAACCCTAACTTACTAAGTCCCATGACCCTCCAAGTAGGGCAAGCAGAGGAAGGAGCTTCTGCGACGAGCCTTCGCCACGCCCGTGGACGTCAAGAAGCGAGCGCAGGCGCTGCTGCTCCTCATCGACACCTCCGGGAGCCATCCTGAGGCTGCCAGCAGCTCTTTGAGAGGTTTAGGGTTTTAGGGATGAGGCTTTATTTTGGGGTTTTGGGGTTTTAGGGATTAGGGTTTATTTTTGGGGTTTAGGGTTTGGGGTTTTGGGGTTTGAAGTTTAGGGTAGGGTTTTGGGTTTCGGGGTTGGTGCCAGGGGTTTAGGGTTCAGGGTTAGTTAGGGCTGAGGAGCCCGTAACAGTATTGGAGCATTTTCGAACCATTTGGTGTTACGCAGGAAAAGTGGCAGTATCAGTCGTAGTTGTAGTAGCCATATTGATGGCAGTCGTAGTAGTCATGTACTGGCCGTTACAAAAGCAGTAGGATCAGCGTGAAATCGTAAGTAATTACCTTCTCCTTTCTCCCCAATGCCGTGAAGCCGTAACAGCGCGAGGCTGCCTACTTGGTAGCTGAGTCTGGGCTCTTTGTGAAGGCTATGCGTAGCAACCTGGAGTGCGAAGATCAGCCGCAGCAGGGGCTGCTGCTCCTCACAGTGTGCTTGGCAGCCTGTGTGGCGCACCAGGTACCCGAGTCTCAGAGTTTCCACAGTTTCCTGACGCCCCTTGTGGACCTGGCGTGCGACTACGGCTCCTTCAAGCCCTTCCGGCCCCTGCAGATCCACGCCGTGGAGGCTCTGGTCCACCTCTGCTACAGCCGCGCCTCGCGGCAGCTGCTAAGCCGAGAGCTCTGCTCTCCGAAAGTGGAGTCTTTGCTCCGGGCCACCCGATACAGGTTGCAAGACGGTGCACCGGTTCGGCAGCACACCTTCCTGGTCTGCTTGCTCTTAGCTAATCTCTGCGATCTGCCCATGGCCGTGGATCCCGGCATGAGCCCTGCAAGCTTTGGCTACGTGGGCTTCGCTGCGCTTTGGACTCCGGAAGACTTCTTCGTCTCCTTGGCCACAGCTCTGGCGGCTGCAGCACGCGGCGAGCCTTGGCCGCCCGAGTCGGAGTTGATCTGGCCTTGCTGGAAGCTCGTGCACACCGTCGAGCGGCTCTCGCGCCACGGCTACGCAGCGGAGCTGCGACTCTGCGCCACTCCTCTGATGACCGTGGTGGCTCGGACAAGGAGCCAAAAGGCTCCGGAGCACTCGGTGCGCATCGTCCGCCTTGGCTGCGAGGCTCTTCGTGCGATTGCCTCTGCCTGCAACGACAGCGAGGCCTTGCGCCGTGAGGCGAGGTTCACCATCCACTTCGTGGAAGCCTTGAAAGAGCACGCCGAAGAGATGCCGGCCGCCGAAGACTTGCTGGGGTTCTTCTTGGATCACCGAGACCCCCTCCCCTACCTCATGCACGCGGACCTGGTCAGCGCTTAAAATCCCAGCGCGTCCCGGGTCCGACGGACAAAAGGCCGAGGGCTCCGGTGCAGAAGATCTGCGCTGGGAGCCCTCTGGACCTCCCCTAAACCCTAAACCCTAAACCCCTAAACCCTAAACCCTAAACCCGAGAAGCATGGCGGAGTCGTCGTCGCAGGAACAATGGGAGCGGCTTCAAGCGAAAAAAAGAACCGTGATTCGGATTTGGGCTTCCGCCCCTGGAGTTGTTAGGAGGCATCGCCACTTACTGCAAAAGGCATGCCAGTTGCTCAAAGGCCGAGGCTCGAATTTTCGGCTTGTAGAGAATATGCCTAGGACCAGGAGCCTCCTCCTGCCGAGCCATGGCCTTAAAGCCCCAACGCTATACCAAGGTTTTGCAAGCTCACACTCTCTACCACGGAAGTTGAGGGACCCTGTGCCGAGCAGCAGAAGTGGCAGTAAACAAAAGCTTTACTAGCACAAACCGGTCATGAAGAAAACCTTGTCTGCTGTTGTAATTAGCACATCACAGTGTATATACGTACATACATAATATCAGGTGTGTATATTTATATACGCATATATATATATATATACAGACACATACATGCACGTATATATCCACATACGCGTGATCTACATGCCACCGGTGCATTCACTTAAGCTTCCCACCCTTCCGCCTCGGCCATGATGCGCCGCAGCCGCTTCGGGACGGCACTTGCCCTGCTGGGAGGTGCTCCGCCTGTAGGATTGCAAAATCTCGCGTTTGGGAGTTTTTTGGCGTTTAGGTTTCCTGGAATCTTGTAGTTCGCTTTGTAGGGATTAGATAGGTTTCGATATCAAGCTATGTGGGCCAGATGTGTCTTCCAGAAGCCCTGAACTCTAAACCCAACAATCATCGGGCAGATTCTGTCACAGCTTCGCCCCAAGCTCTGTGTTTTCATCGGGCTCTGCATGAAGGCAATGCCCTAAACCCTAAACCTTCCCATCCCCAATGGTAGCTTCAGAACGCGAAAAATCCCTATGTCGACGCGAAGCAGTCGCACCCTCAGTAGCCCTAACTAATCTGTCTAAGTAGACATAGGAAGCACAGTGCGGAAACCGTCCGCAATGTAAAGACCCTCATAAAGCCCTTATTACAAGCTCTGTAAAACGGAAAAACGTTTCTGGGCCAGGTCTCGCTGCCCTGGCCTGGGTTGCGCCCAGCCATGGAGGCTTTGGTTTGTGTTTGGGATCCCTATGATGCACATCTACCCGGAATCTACCCACTCATACCCAAAGAGCCAGCGCAGTACCCCTTAATCAAGGCACGCGGCGCAGAAAAAAACCACCCCGGAAGCAACACCTGACAGTGGAGGGTTGAGGCAAGTGTATAAAATTGTAGCAGGCGCAGTGAAATCGCATGTTTTGACCTACCCCAGTGGTCGTGTAGCACAAGCAAAACGGGTCAATATATCGTGGCCAGTTTGTTGGGCGCACGATGCGGCCTCTGAAGAGGTATCTTGACGTTTGACATCACTATCATGTAGGATTTAACGACTTGTATACCTAAGTAGGGAGTAACTGTCCTGGCGTCCCCATCACATTCGCAGCAACACTATGACAAATTGCCCTAACATAAGTATTACGGCTCCCTAAACCCCAACCCCTGGAGCAGCAATGCGACGATGAGCAGCTGAGCGAGCAAGGTGTTTTTTTCCCAAACGCGTACCTTAATTAAGGAAGATGCCTTAAACCATAATATTAAGGCCCCGATAATTCAAGGTATAATCCGTAGTTAAGGTGTAGTGGGCTCTCTGGGTACATGCCACATGACTGGGCGACTGAGTACTTGGAGGATCATGGGACTTAGCAAGTAAGGTTATAAGTACCCTAAAAGGGGTTATAGCAAAAAGATATCCTATTTTATAACCCTAGTTACTAAGTCCCATGCTCCTCCAAGTAGGGGTTTTCGGGTCCATGTGAGGAGACCTATCCTCGGCCATGGCCTTTTCGATGTTTTTCTCTGGGTTTTGCACCCTCTACTTGGAGCATCATGGGGCTTAGTAACTAGCGTTATGAATAAGGTAACTATAATTATAACCCCAAGTAGGGTACTTATAACCTTACTTACTAAGTCCCATGGTCCTCCAAGTAGCCTACCATACCCTAGACCCTAAACCCTAAAGCCCTAAACCCTGAACCCCTAACTCCAAACTAAACCTTGCACCCTAGGCCCTAAGCCATAAACATCCCGGACCCTACATCCGAGGACAGCCGTCTTCGCTGTATGGGTGAGGGTTGTCAATTAGGGGTTTAGGGTTTAGGGTTTAGGGTTTAGGGTTTAGGGTTTAGGGTAACTTACTGCTGAAATCTGAAAGCTGAGCACCAGGCTCCCTGGGATCAAGCTGTGCTCCCTGTGAGGCTTCGTTTTACTATGTCAAATGCATCAGGGTTCTTGCCCTAAACGCTGCACCCCAAAACAAGAAGCACTCAAAACACACGCCTAAGCCCTAAACCCTAAACCCTAAACCCTAAACCCTAAACCCTAAACCCTAAACCCCTAAACCCTAAACCCTAAACCCTAAACCCCTAAACCCTACACCCTAAACCCTAAACCTGCGCAGGTCCATCCCGTGCCCCGGGCCGCACCGGAGCCTTGGCACAGCTTTAGTGCCCAGAGACTCCAATATCCCTTAATTAAGGAATATACCTAAAATCATATTTGGGATCCTACTATAATTTAAGGTATATTCCTTAATTAAGGGATATTGGAGTCTCTAGGTGGACGCAAGGGGGGGTTTGCCGGGAGGCGCGGGGTGCTTTGGCTGCGTTAGCAGCAGGTTCTACTGGCTATGAGGGTCTCTGGGATTTTCAGGGGTTGGACGTGGGGCTTCTACTAAGGGCTTTTATGCAGAGGGCTAGCAAGGGTTTGGGGGCAGTTTGCGGGGCTGGACTCGTTTTTTGACTTCAGTGTGGTGGCTGGCTCAGGGTCTTGATGGGCTTGGCGGATGCTTTTGAGAAGTCGTCGGGTCAATGAGGGCGTGAAGGGAAACCCCCACCCGAAGATCCACAACTTGTCGAAAATCCTGGAAGGTAGGGTATGCACGTCAGCAAAGCCTTTCCGAGACTTTCGAAACCTTCTGAGGCGTGCAGATTCACTGTAGATACCAAAGCCTAACTAAACCGCAACCCTAAACTCTAAACCCTACATCCCTGAAGCCTAAAGCCCAACGCCTTGAACTCCTCTCCAAGAATCCTTCCTAAACCCTAAACCCTAAACCCTAAACCGTCCTTCCTTCTCCAAACCCCAAAGCCCTGAACCCTCAAGGCCCAGAGCTCGAGCTTTCTTATCCCAAAGCCCTGGACCCCTAAGCTCTCAACCCCGAGCCCCGAAGCCTAAACTCCAAAATCCCCAAACCCACCTTGAACCCCAAACCCTAAAACTCACCCCAAACCCTAAACCCTAAGCCCTAAACCCTAAAACCCTAAAGCCCTAAAACCCTAAACCCTAAACCCAAAACCCACCTAACGTGAACCTGCGGTTTCTTGTCAAAGCCAGGTCGAAGGGCTCTGAACTCGGCCCCTTTCGGTGGCATGTCCGAGCAGGACGCGGTTTTTGATGGGACCTAGGGGCCTAGGGTTTGGGGCTTTGGGTTTGGGGTTTAGGGTTTAGGGTTTAGGGTTTATTTTCTGCTAGGAGGGGGGGGGGCATGGGCTCTAGAGACTTGTTCTGTTCTTTCGTTTTCTGGCGGTGTTCTCTGTGTTTCTTGTTTCTGTTGGTAAACGTATGATATGAGGATCTTAATTGGGCTTACTGGTATAACGTAGGTAACCTGCTTGGCGACCCTACGTACTAAGTTCCGTGATTTGTGAACTGAAGTAGGCCCCTCCTTGGCCAGGAGTACCTGGAATATCTGAAAACATCAGGCGTGGACATGGACGATATGTCCCGGGACTACACCGACAACGTCGGCGGCTTGTTCGATGCTCGGCTGCCCTTGTTGGGAGGGGGTCTCCTGCAGGTAAGAAGCGAACAAAACAACGGGGGAATCCCGACTCTCAGAATGAAAGCCCGAAGTTGCGAATCGAAACCCTAAACCCTAAACCGACAGCAAGGAGGAAAAGAGCCTTCAGAGACAAACCCTAAACCGAGCTTTGGGGCCTGCGACCGTCGCCATCCATCCCCGAAAGCCCCAGGCTTCAAAGGCCTCGTCGACTTCTTGCAGTCTTTCTGTTCTGCTGATTGGGGCAGGAACCCCAAACCCTGCACCCGAAACTTTAGGCCCTAAACCCCGAAACCCGTGAACTGAACCCCTAAACCCTAAACGCTTAACCCTAAACCCCTAAACCCCTAAACTCCTGAACCCCCAAAACCCCGAAACCCGAAACTTTATCCCCCGAGCCCCACGGCCTGGGTCCTCCTCAGGAGGCGTTCCTGCCGAAAGGAGGCCCTGAGCCGATGCTGGAACCAGAAGATCTAGGTTTGAGACTACTAATGACTATTACTACTGTTGATGGACCAAATTCTGCATGACCCAAATATAGTATAGCACCATAAATGTTTTCCAAACAGCGGCGGGAGCTAGGATTAGGGGAAACTTGGAGGATCATGGGACTTAGTAAGTAAGGCTATAAGTACCCTAATTGGGGCTATAGTTCTAGTTACCTTATTTATAGCCCTAGTTATTAAGTCCCATGATCCTCCAAGTAAGCATATACAAACAGATAAGCACATGAAATCCCGAATATAGTGGAATATCATTTGAATCAAGAGACAAGCAAGTGCATAGATAGATAGATAGATAGATAGATAGATAGATAGATGGATAGGTAAATACAACAGCAAGCAAGTAAATAAGCAATATCTCGCTCTTTTCTTTCTGTCCACGTCTGCCTGTCTCTTAATCTCTGCTCTCTTCCCTCTCTCTCTATCTCATCTGTCTAGCAATCTAACTACATAACTGTCTATCCATCTAGCCAGGTATCTACCTATCTATCCATTTGTTTGTCGCTAGCAAAACGTGTGGCAGCACTATTCAGCCGCAAGGAAATCCTGGGAATTTTTGGAGGTTTCGGGGCCTTGGCGCATACCACTGCAAGTACTACAACTGCTACTACTACTACTACTACTACTACTACTACTACTCCTACTGCTACTGCTACTGCTACTGCTACTGCTACTCTGCTACCGCTACTGCTACCACCACCACCGCCACCACCACCAATATTACCTCTATTACCCGTACCAACGATGATAAGCACTGCCAGCAGCATAGTGGTCACACTATTATTTCTCTCAAGGACAGTCAAGGGAGAAGGACATCAGTACCAAAATCAGGTGAAGCAAGGCGCGCCAACAGTCCATACGCGATGCATTTGTCAGCTACAACAGCACTATTCGAAAGAGTTTGTAGCGAGAGCAGGAAAGATTTAGAACAGCAGACGTGAGAATAGCAATGGTCCAAGTTGCCACGAACGCCAAGTTCAAATTCGTCTTCGTCTGCAACTAGTGATGGCAGGAGCAATGGCAAATGTCAGGGACAACAAAGTAATGCTGATTGTAGTGACAACTGACAACCAGACTGAATGTGGCGGCGCGCATGCAGGCGTCACGCCGGAGTACATTGGCGGGATCGTAGGCTGGGGGCTCCTCTTCACCATCCTCACGGCTGTGGCCATCACCCTGTGCCCTGGCCCGAAGCCAAAAGCCCTGAACCTTAAAGCCTTTGCTTCAACTTGGAGGATCATGGGACTTAGTAAGTAAGGTTATAAGTACCCTAATTGGGGTTATATTTATAGTTACCCTATTTATAACCCTAGTTACTAAGTCCCATGATCCTCCAAGAACCATTTCTTAAAAATGAGCACCTGAACTCCAGCAATGTCAAACCCTCCACAACCCGAAGCCGGTGCCTCCAAAGCAACCGAATTCATTCCTCTAGGCTCAAAACTTCGCACGGAACACCTCACAAGGACCCATACCCGCTAAGGCCAGAGCCACCGCGTCTGTAGGACTCATGGAACTGGAAGCAGTTCAAGCACATGTACAGTAATGGGGGTTTCCGAAAATTAGGGCTACCTTATTTAGGGGTCCTTATATTAAGGATCCTATTATTTAGGGTACTATATTAGGGTCCCCTATTTTCAGAAACCCCCTAATGGCGATGGTATAACAGTACCGGCAGTGGTGTGATTATCATGCTTACGGTTGTGGTGATGGTGGAGCTGGTGGCGGAGAGGTAGTGGTGGTGGTGTTACCAGCAGCAGCCGCAGTGGCTAGTATAGGAGCCTAAATAATTACAAATACTATTTTTGGGGTTCCTTATCACAGTTGTAGTATAAAATAACCCCGAAACCCTATTCTAATTATCAAGGCCCCTATATTAGAATCAGGTTCGAGAAGTACGTCCTTGGCAAAGATGTGGAGATCGACTGGACCGGCACCTGAAACTGAATTTCGGAGCAAAGGTGGCTGTTTTTTGGGTTTAGGGTTTAGGGTTTAGGGTTTAGGGTTTTGAGGAGGTTGCGGGATGTGAGCGAGTACCCGAAAACGCACCAAACCCCAATAACCCCTTTCTAGAACCCATAAGTAAACCCCACTGAAACCCTTAATAATGGATCCGTCTTTAGGAGTCCTCAAACCCCTATACCTACACTGTAGTGGCCTGAATAATTAGAATAGGGTTTTGGGGTATAGTATACTATATTCATAATAAGGAACCCCAGAACCCCATAAAACCCTAGTTTTATTAAGGCCCCTACATCATGACTCAGAACCGCTTTTGTCGTACATGCCGCAATCCGAAGTTCCCTCAATGGGTAGTTCTCTACGTTAGGCTCCCTTTTCGGGCTCCTCAAAGGGATCTATAAGGGTTTCTATAAGGGTCCTATAAGGGGTTCTATAGGGTTCTGGGATTCTAAGGGTCCCTTTTGGGGTTCTTTTTATAGGGGTACCGCGTTTCTTTTTTTGGACTACCCAAATTCGGGGAGGCGCAGAAAGCGTTTCGACTGCGGACGCCCAGGCCGATCGAGCAAAGTCGGCCGTATCCTCGCTGGCGAGGACGTTGCTTGACCTGACTTGATATTTGCCAACACTACCTTGGAGCTCCTGTTTTAAACAAAAGTAGAATATACCCTAGCACCCTATTCTAATTATTCAGGACCCTAAACACCAGGTGCACAAGGGAGCAGGGTTTCAGGAGTTTGTATTACATGCAATTTGGGAGAGGTGCGGCTGCACTTTGGGTCACCATCGCCATCACCCGCCTCATCACCGGCATCATTTCCAGAAGCACCCTAAACCCTAAGCCCTAAACCACCATCACTACCAAGAGGACCACCACTGAACCCTCCACACCAAACTTTGGGCCACTTGCTCAGGTTCGTGGCATCAAAGGCGGCGGGCTGAAAACAGCGGGAGGGCTTCCATTGTTTTCCATGGGCTCTAACAGAGCTCGAAAGTCATGGACTTCAGAGTAGAGTGGTTTTTTTTTTGGGAATCGGGAGGAGCCCTTAGGTAAAGCCGCGACTCTGTCAGAGTGCTTTAAAACTTAGTCTAGAGGGCACCTTTTCGCTGGGCTTCCATTGCATATCCTGGCGGCGGCTCATGGCGGAAGCGCAGGGAAGAGGGTGACATGAAGACAAAAATAGGACACCTCAAACCCTGAACCTAGTCTCCTTCTCCTCCTAAATCCAGAACCGCGAACCAGACATGCTTACACCTTGGGCTCTAAGTTCCGCACTCCTCTGTCATGCAAAGCCCGCAGCGAGCCGCCGACATGATTGCAACCTAAGCCGAGAACTCTCCAAATTCAGAATCCCGAAACCATAACCCCTCAAAGGCCTAAACCCCCACAATCCACCCCCCTCCCCCTTTTCATGAAACCCACCTAAAATCCCCAACACCACAAGAGCCCTCTGGCCCAGAAGAGCCCTCGGAGCTGGACTTCTTCCAGGGCTCCATCCAGGAGCTCAAGGACCTCCGCGCGGCCGAGGCCTTCGTTTTTCGTTTTATGGGGGGGGTGTGCATGGGGTTCAGGGTGGGCAGATGCGGGTTCCGAATTTCGTTGTTTTTGTTTTTGCTTGCTTCAGTCTGTTTGCTTGTTTCGCTGAGCTGATGGACTAGGTGGTGTTTTGTTGTCTTTCCTTGCATTTGTGAAGGGTTCGGGTATTGAACTTGAAGTTTGGGATTCAAGGTTCGAGTTCAGGGACTCTGTATGCACATGCCGATGGTTCAAGCTCCGAATATAGGAGCCTTGTTAATCACCCATACTATTTTGGGGGTTCCTTACTATAAAAGTAGTATAAAGGGCCCCAAAACCCTATTCTAATTATTAAGGCTTCATACATCATACATTACACCCTAAACCCTACACTCGAATCCGGCGCACGGAAGCCCTGGGTTGGCGCAGGCAGAGAACGGCATGGACCCGTTGGCCAACATCGGCATCAAGCGGAATAAGGAGTGGATCGAGGCTGCCTCTTCCCGCTGCCCTGAAGCTTACTGCTAGGGGTACTAGAATCCCTAAACCCTGAACCCTTGTAAGGCATGATCCCCTTGTTGCTAGAAGGATCTAAACCCTAAACCCTAAACCCTAAACCCTAAACCCTGTTTTCTTGCAATGTTTTTTCGTCCCTTTGCTATCGCTGCCACTGCCGAGCCCTTCCCTTTCCCTTCAGGCCGGGCCATTATGTGGGGGCCTTTATTTAGAATAGGGTTTTGGGGCCAATTATAATATAGATATAATAAGGAACTACCAAACTACTAAAGGTAATTCATAAGGCCCCTATATTATGGCATCCTCCTTCTTGTGAGCAGAGACCTGGCAACAGACAGGCAACCGAAGGGGATCCCTTCCTTGGGCCAGTTGGGCCTAGGTGACGAAGTAACCGGCAAAAATCCCCTTAACCTTAAACCCTAGCTCACAAACTCCGAGACTATCCCGGGCAGGAACAGAAGAAGAGGGTGAAGGACTGAGCCTTTGATTTGCATCGCTTCGGACTCCTTCGGGGGATGGCGAGACTTGCAGATGAGCAGTACGTACTGTTTGAAGCAACCGCAGGGTGTGCATCATCGCAGAGGTTAGCACGGGGTAGTCATGCTTGCATCCCTCTCTGTGTGGTGGAGGCCTGCAGTTGGAGACTTCGTTGAATCGTTTGAGCGTAGCTTTTAGTCGGGTTTCATCGACCCCCCAATGGGCCCCCCAACCTAAGTGCCAGGCCGCTTGCAGAGACGTTTCATTCGTACCCTTTTGCATCGCCATCTCCCGAGAAAGTGTCCCCAATGATCATGGCGGTCAATTTTCAAGACCTGCTGCCCTTGCGAATTTTCCAAAACCAAGCAAGGCTAGCATGGCAGAGAGTGGGGTCCAATCTCTCGCACGATGTGTGCGTGCTAGACACACAAGCTTGCCCGCGATTGAAAATGTGAGTCTGCCATGGCTTTTAGGTCGGCATGATGTGAGGCCTATTTTGGTGGCCCGTGCACACCAATGGGTGAGGGTTTCAATGCATAGGTGTCAGTTGGTACTTCGGGGCTCGTACCTGGTTGTGTTGCTTTTTGTTTCCCCGCGCGAATCGAGCAATAGCTCACTATAGTCTTCCCACCAACGGAACCCTTCCTATGTGCGTGTTTGTAGTGGCATGGATGGGTGCGAGGGCCCAGGTGTGCGGTTTGATCAGCATGACCGCTGCAATTGAACCCTACAGACCAAATAGAAAAAGAAGACCAAACAACCTACAGACCCTGCAACCTCGTTTATCCCTGGCGAAGCCCTGTTTCCCGACAGTCCATGGCGAGCGCCACGGAGATCCGCAGCAAGGAGAAGGAAGCCAACGTTGCCCGGCTGCGCTCGGGAGCGTAGAGTTCGGTGGCGTGAAGCGAGTACTGGTAGAGATATCATATTGGTGTAGCTGAAATGCTTCACAGAGACAATGGTAGTGACACTATGCATAATTACTGGCAGCGGGGAGAATAGCCACATCTGCGTGCCACAACAGCACTAGGCTCAGATTTCCTGGCTTTTGAGTGGGAGGTCAGAGGGTCTCCTCTAGGAACCATGGTTCGGTGGGCAGCGGAAAACTTCACACTGTTTCCTTTCCCACTCCCTAACCCTGAGATCTCAAGGCTGCTACCATCAAGGAGGCCAGTTGTTCAGCAGCGCGACGGCGGGGCTTGGATGTGGGGGTTCTGAAGCTAAGATCCCCGGTCGTTTCATCATGACAAGGCTGCTATAGAGGTCCTGTATCATTACACCACGCAGTGATAACATCATGTCGCATGTTCCAAGCGCACGAGTAGGGTACAAGCTAGCTCAGCTGGATGATGAGGCATGTGCAGTAAAAAACCGTATCAGATGGACCTATCTATTTCTTTTTCCATTCGTCTGTCGATCTACCAGACAGCAGCAACGCACAAGCTAGTGTAATATAGGGGCCTTATTAATTACCTATATTCATGTGGAGTTTCCTTATTAAACTTATAGTATATTGGACCGCAAAACCCTATTCTAATGATTAAGGCCCTTACATTAGGAGTTGCAGCTCGCATATTCTCACGCCCCGGGCAAGCCAATGACCAATGACTCTAGACCCAGAGCCCTCACCCGACTTACCAAAAAGGTTCTGTAAGGATTGCTATATTATGGTAGCCGTTTCTACAAGGGTTACTACAAGGGTTTAGCAGGGTGACTAAACCCTAAACCCTACAGCTCTAGAGCCCTAAGCCCTTAAGTTCCAAACCCTAAAGTCCCTAAACCCTATAACCCAACACCCTCATCCAAAAGGCTCTAAAACAACAAACAATACCCTCAAGGCCCAAGCCCTTAAGTTCTAAACCCTGAAACTCTAAACCCCAAAACTCAATACCCTAAAGCCCATCAGAAATTAAAACACAGCTTCTTTGTGTCCAGGCCCAAGAGGCCCAGCAGGCGGTGGTGGAGGCCACCACGGTTCTGAAAGAGCCTGGGGCCCAGGGCCGTCGTCAAGATCGGGGCCCTTTGTTAGTATGATATAGTATATTATCATCATATGTGAATACAACACATGAAAATCCTAGATTGTATTCTACTCTATTCTATTCTATTCTGTTCTGGTCTATTGAATTCTATTCCATTTTATTGTATAGTACAGTATAGTAAAGTATGGTATAGCATAGTCTAGTAGTAAAGTGTAGTATATTATTATATTATGTTGTATTCAATTCTATTCTAGTCTAGCCTATTTGTTAAGGAGCTTTTTTCAGGGGGTCCCTAAAAGGCTGTAGATGCGCATCGCTGAACCCCCCTAAACTTCGCCCTAAACCCTAAAACTTTCAACCGCGAACCCTGAACCCTAAAACCCTAAACCCAAAAACCTAGCCGAGGACCGCCCACCCCAAACCTAAACCCTAAACCCTAAACCCTAAACCCCCTGAAACCCTCCCGTGAGGTTCCAGGACAGCAACGGCCTGAGCGCTTCGCTTCTCCAGGTGCCCCCGGCCTGTCTCGGAGGTCTTTTCTTTCTCGGCCGGAAGCTAGGGCTAAAGCGCTTACTCCTACTGCCATCAAGCTGATGATAGTGAGGGTATGTGAGGATGGCATGGATGATAGTGATGATGATGATGATGATGAGGTGAATGATGATGATGATGATGATGATGAAGTTGTTGATGATGATGATGATGATGGTGATGCTCTCTCCAAGACAATGATGGTGACCGATGAAGACGTTAGTGTGGCAACAGTGATTTTCACGATGCTTACTGGTTCCGCTTGCTATCGATTGTCATTCTGACCGATCCTTACCCTGTTTAGATACCCTTGTTACCATATTGCAAGCCAAAATTGTGAGTCTTTCACCCCACGGCCTTTACACCTCCAGATGCGCAGATGCATCTGAAACCCTGACAAGAAGCTTCAGGATCCTGGCCCCTGCAGATTCTCATGATGCTGCGGCTGTTGCCGTGTCAGCGTTGCTTTGCTGTTGCTTTTCCGTTTGCTTCGAGGTTTCTCATGGTCGTAAATTTCTGAACTCCATTGCTCCATTATGGGCAGTCTGTTAGTGACAATGCCAGGCGAAGAAGGCAAGCCAGCCGGTAGCTTGGCCGACCATTACGAGGGTTGTTGCGAATTGGGGTCCCTTCAGGGTTCCCAGTTGTCGCAACGATGGAGCCGGTGCTTTCCCATGGCTTTAGGCATGGTTTATACTAGCGTCAAGAGCCGTACAGCAGATGTGGCGTGTGTTTACAGGGTGAAGTCCTGGCCATTGTCCTGCTCCAGTGAATCCAGCAAATCTGCGGCTAGTCTAGCATTAAAGTACAGCTAGACAGCGGTGTGGCACTATTCTTATTCGGCCATAAATCCGTCGATCACAGAACCATCCTTCTAAAGCAAACCATACCAAGCAAAAAATCAAGCCGACAGGATATCTTCCAGAGCACCTACGGAGGCATGCTGGACGAGGCGCTGCCAGAAGCAACGGCCAACCCTGGACCCGTAACCTACTGTAATCTCCTAATATATTGGTCTTAATAATTACCTATACTACTTTGGGGTTCCTAATTATAGCTACTCTCGTCTAATATACCCCAAATCCCTATTCCAATTATTAAGGCCCCCATATTACCCACCTCATCTGAAGCCTGAAGCGGACGTGCAAACGCAAAGGCTACAGCCCCGAAGCCAGACCCTACCTGCACCCCCTAAGTCCACGCGAAATGAGAGATGTCCAGCAATTCGCATCCTGCACCATCTTCGCCCTTGAACCCATGACTGGTATGGCCTTCATAGCAAATGCTAGTCTTTTCTGATTATGAGCCATGCTGCCGTGTGTGGTTGGGTTGTTTTTTCTTTCTATTGTTACCCACGTTAGTAGTTCATCCGGTTTGCACCATGGTTTTTGCTCTCATCATCATCGTTTTCACCATTGTCGTTGTTCTGTTTCTTGTAATTGCTCTGGCCGCTGTTGCTATCATAGCAATGATGTCACTATTACTACTACTACTACTA